CATACTTCTGAAATCCTTCATTGGCTTCCATTTTTACTCCTTGAAGATCCATACGTGTTGGAGCTAAGCCTTTAACATACCGATATTGTACCAAAATGTATCGGTTAGATCAACCCATCTCTTGATCTGTTCCTGAGTCAACTGATTGTACCAGACTACTATTGGGCCAACGTGGCTATCATGGAAAGAGTGAATTAACATATCATCAGAATTTAAATATCCTTCCATTTTTCTGTAAAACATTCTCAGGTGGATTAGAGGACAACTGGTGCCATTATATTTCTCAAAATTAGGCATCTTGAATTCATGGGGAATAACCAAATCTGGAACCAAACTGAGCTCTCTTGCTTCTAGTTCTTTGTGGGAAGTATTAACTCTTTTCATATTTCTAATTGCTTCATTCATCCTCTTGAATCTCTCCTCATATTGTGAATAATTAATGAGGCTATTCTTTGGGCTCAAGTGGGATACCCCAGGTTATATTATCATTCTCGACTTTTCAATCTGATAGCATGGTTGTCCTTTAGCAATTATCTCTCTTTTATCATATGTCATCCCCTAACTAATTTGATTTGATCCATCTGGTACTGAATCCGATGCTTCTTTCCTTGTATCTTGAGGTAACCCTGTCAATTGTTCTGGCCACTGATCTTATAGTCCCTCATAAGATTGCTCCATTATTTTCATGATGATGGTACAGTAATATGAATGGTCTCAATTTTACTGTTACAGAACCCTTCATGAATTGTTTATATGTTTTTATAATTAATGTATACACCAATACATGAAAAAAAATAAAAAATGTAATGTAAATGCAAAAATGCATAAATACAAAAATAAGAATGCAAATTGTGCAATGCAAAAGTAAACATAAAAGTATGAATACAAAATGAAAATGCAAAGATGTAAAATGCAAATGCATGTATGAAAATGTGTTACTTAAGAGTGATAATCTTAGAACAGATTTCATTGAACACAAAAGTTTTCGTGCATCAAACAAAACTTTTACATGTAAGGGATAGCTTTCACTCCTAACTTCTCTATTTCCCTTAAAAGCCAAATTAACTTCCACTCATGCTCAGGTGTGGAGTTATCAATCTTCCTTAATTCTCTCATGAAGCCAGCTAAGTCCACCAGCTTATGAACCACATTGTTTGCTTGGGCAGCAGCTTCCTTCATGAGATTGTCTTTTTCCTTCATCTTTTGTGTTAATTCTCAGAATTTCAAACAATGTTGTTTATTTTTTCTCGTGAGAGAATCTTTTTGTTCAAGAAGTTCTCGTACAAGATCCCCATAATCATCTAAACATTTCTTTAATATCTTGTTCTTAGCTCTAGTGGCTTTTAATTCAGTATCAATCTTATGTTGATGGATCTGATATGATGCTTCCATGTTGGTCATAGCACTATTTAACCTTTGATTGTCGACTTGATATTTTCTCAATTCAATGACAGTTGTATTGAGTCTTTCTTCTGCAACTCGTAAATCATGAGAAAACTTCTTGGCTCGTCCTTCATTTATATTGCAGTTCTTTTTCAGTTTGGTGACCCCTATTATCCACTCTTCTGGGATATTTTCTATGCCAGCATTTTGAAAGGCTTGACTGAATTTCTGAAAATCTTCATGCATGGTTTCCATTTTAGTGCTCAATTTATCGTTTTCAATCTTTAAATGACTTATTTGAGCCTCAGACCTCAGCAAATCTTCTTCCTTCTGGACACCTCTACTGATACTTTTACCTTTGAAGACTTTTGGTATTAATCTAGCAGGACCTTTAGTTACCAAACTAGGTCGATCATTTATCATAAATTATAAGGTTCCATGATCCAAAAGACTTTGGACTCGACGTTTGAAGGCAAGATAATTCTCAATGGTATGTCCTTGAGCGCCGATATGATATTCACAATAAACGTTGATGTCATCTCAATTCGGATACGAAGATTAGAACGGTTTTATGTAGTACAGAGCCACTTCTCGCGCTTCAAGTAGCTTCTTATATAACTCTTTATATCATATATGGATAGCATCAAAATGAGAACCATCTTTTATCTTGGATTGAACCTAAGTTTTAAACGTTGGGAGCAGACTAAACTTCGACGATTTCAGATTACATGATTTGTTCTCATCTCTAGGAGCTTTTACAGTTGTCACCATTTATTTGGTATCTCCAAATAACTTGTGAATACGAATGATGACTGTCTGTAATTTCTCAAATTGGTTAGGATCAGAAGTTCATTGCATATCTGAGATTTCAGATTTATCGTCATTGAGCTCTCTCTCTTTTTGTGCAGGAATCTATTTTCCTTTGGTTAAAACAGATATTCTACCCATCATCTTGGACATCTGCTCTCTTATTTCTCGTATCTCCTTTTTCTCTTCAACAGGCATACGATCTTTGGGTGCATAGCTCTCCTCTATCCTCGGAGTTCCCTCAGGATGCCATTTCATGGTTGCGTTATATTTTGTTTGATCATAAAACTTTTTGTCCATTTATGAATTCTTTCCAATTTTATGAACAGTCTTTCAAGTCAACACCTTTTGGTTATGCCATGATCATGCAATGCAAACAAAAAAATCAATATAAACAAGTTATAGCAAAACAAAATGTATAAAAATGAGAAAGGAAAAAATAAATTGGTTAGTACCAATTAATGGAAAGAAAAACTCCTATCTATCAAGGTATAAATCCTAACCTCATGATTTCTAGTTTCATGCTTTGTTTAGAAAAAAAATGAAATCAAATAAATTAAAAGCTAGAGCTTATTTCTCCTTTGTGTACACCTAAAAACAGGATTTCAGTATTGTCTTAGATCATGAGAATTTCTAGGGTTTATTATATGCAAGGTTTTAGTTCTAGGAGTAAAAGTACTCGAACTGTCCTTGTTGCTGCCCCCTTGGGCTGCCAAACCCTCAATCCTAGTCCATTACAGACTTAAGCGGATTGAGTTCAATTCGAGGGGACACATTTCTCTATGCCTGACACGGAGAATAAATTCTCACGAAGACATAGAGCATATGAACCCCGAAAGCTACTTACTAGGTCTGACTCGAAGAATAAATTCTCACGAAGACGTCGCTTTCACTCTCACTTAAAATGGACAAGCTTGATTATAAAGCTTATGTTATGCAATGCATATGTTGTGTGTGAGGAGAAATTTTTACACAAAATTAATATCTAAAAAGCAATTAAATACAAATAAATATACAAAGGTATAAAATTAATTGAAAGAAATGAATCATAAATTAAATAAAATTGGATTCTCAATTTCTAATTATAGAAAAAATATATAATCGACTTAGGTTTGACCAAAATCCCCAACAGAGTCGCCAAACTGTCATAACCAATTTTCGCCCAAGCACGAATGTTTCTTGACGGAAAAACGAATGAATAAATAAATGTTTTTTAATGAAACGTTTTAGAGTCGCCATCGAACCTTTTGAGTTAGGTAGGTCGAATACCTAAAAATCACCTTTTAAAAGAGTTTTTAAGAAAACATCATTTAAAAGATAAATCAGTCTGTGTATAGCCAGAAATTCATTTATTTTAGTAATAAAAAGAGATTTATGGTCCGTTACGTTTGGGGAAGGATTAGCACCCCCACAACGCTCAAAATTGGTACCCATCTATTATAAATTGTCTCTATTATTGGAAATCTAAGAATTCAAATATGAATTTAATTTACGATCCTATTATTCCAGATTCAATCGAATAATTCTAAAGAAAAATATATTAAAATAATTTTTATAAAATTAAAGTATATATATACTCAGGTTTCATAAATAGGGTATTTATTTATTTAAAAAATATCAGAAAAGGGCATCTAGTTATTTTAAGACATTCCTTCTATTTGATATAAATAAATAAATAAATATTAATGAGAATATGATAATTTTTCCTAAAAATAATAAAAATAAAGTAAATATATATTAAAAATTATATTTATTTATTTTAAAATGCCAGAATAAGACATCTAGTTATTTTAAGACATCATTTTCTTTAATATTTAAAAATAAATAAATATTATCCTTTAATTAAATTACAAAATTGATTAAATTAATTGATATAAGATATTATGATTACTTTAAAATATTTTAAGTAATAAAACACATATTTCAAGAAAAATTAATAATAATAATCTAATAATAATAATAATAATTATATAATATAATAAAAATAATAAATAAAAAAAGACAAACACATGTACGTGATATTTAATGATAGCAATAGTTAACAAAGGAAAGCATTTTGTTTAAGTGGCGATAAATTATGAATGATAAGACATTTTTTATTTATTAATACATCTTTTTTTATTGGTTAGGTAATGACCGATTATGCTAAGTAAATTCAAATTCAAAATTACATTATATTATTCTTACCTACTATGTCCACTAAAAAAGACTTTAAGCATTTTGTCTTTTATTATTATTTTATTATTATTTATTATTTGTAATTTATTATTAATATATATTATTAGAATATATATGTGACTAAAATAAAAAAATAATAACTAAAGTACTAGATTTAAAATATTTAAACATAAAAGGTAATAATAGAAATAAAATAAAATATAAATGCTAAATTAAAATAAACAGAAACATGTTTTAAGGATTAAGTTGTAAAATATCAAAATTAATAGAAATAACTTAAAATATTATATAATATAAGTAATAGCAGTGTAATTTAACTATAAATATTAATACGTGATTAAAATAAAAATTACTAAAATATAAGGGACTAAGTAATATATTTACCCTAAATATTTAATAAATATGGCAGGGACTATAACATAATAAAATAAAATAAGAAGACAAAATTAAAAGACTTTGAAAATTCATTTAGTGACCAAATTGCAAAAGGATATAAATTTGGAGGGATCACGGATATGATTTTTGCCATGTGGGAAATTACAGAAACATCCCTCACAAAAACGACGCCGTTTTGGTGAGGGTATAAATACCCCAGAAACCGACCTTTAGGCCATTTTTCTCTCATTTTTCACTTTGTTTCTCTCTTTTTAGAGAGAGAAGCTCTGAACTCTCTCTAGAATTCCCTCACCGGAGGGAATTCCGACCACCGTCGCCGTCGTTCTCCAGCGTCGATCGCCACCGCCGGCCACCACAAACGGTGATCGGAAAACGTGAAAACTACCTTAAATCGTAGATCACACAACCCTAAAGCCAATCTAGCTTCTATTTCTTTTAAAAAATCATAAACTTTCTTAGATCTAAATTTATACCTTCGACGATTTAAGTCTCTGATGAGGCGTAAAGACTCCAACCACTGTCGATAAGTATTCTCGATCTCTTTTCTTCTTTCGGTTTAATGTTTGGCTGCTATGGTTTTTTTGTGTGCTTGTTTGCCCTCCTCCCCCTTGTCTTTGCAGGTTCGGTGACCTTTTATAGGCCACCAAGAAGCTGCCTTCAGTTCGATGGTCCCTCGGTGAGTCACCACGGCTAGTGTAGATCTTCTGGAAGCATCGATGTCGTGGCAACAAATGACTGGGGAACATAACGACGTAGTGGTTGGCGTAGAAGCGACGGAGTGGTTGGCGTAGAAGCGGCGGAGTAGTTGGAGGGACATGGCGGCGCCGAAATCTCCCTAGGGTTGGTGAACCCTAGGGTTTCTACTGTGCTTAATCTGGACCGTTGGATCATGTCAGATCCAATGACTGATAAAACTGGCGGTTGGAGAAGATGCTAGAAACCCTAATCAGGTTTGGATCCTGCTGAGTGGTCTAGGTCAGGTATGGATCTGGGTACCCATTTGTAATTGGATTCTGATTTGGGCATGTAATAATAATAATAATAATATTTATAATAATAATAATAATTTTAAAAATAAAATGAAAAAAATAATGTCTACAACCATCTTTCAGCAAAGTTGCACTGAATTGAATCCAAGTTGGGCAAGTTGCAGCAACGCTTTGGTCACGAAGATAGGTTCCGAGTTGCAGGAGGCAAAGAAAAGCATTAAGTTTTGGGTTTGGCTGGATTCACCAACAGCTAAAAGGAACGAGTTCACCCTGGCAAGTGGATGTTTAATTGTTAGTGTTTTTGGTTAGGACCATACCAGGGTGTCTCGTCATCATTCTTGTCTCTCCTGGACAAACACGTCAAACGTGTGGCCCCCCGAAAGATACTTATAATGAAACATCCTCATCCTGTTTAATCTTATGTACATCTTTTATGTATCTACGTCTAGATGGATAAGACTTGGCGAATAGTAATATTACATTGTTGTTAACAATTGAAGATTGAAAATCCAGATTCAAGTTCTAGTTTCCAGGGGGCCAAAGCAAGCGTGAATTTGGATTCACCGATCAGAGTTGAGTGATGGCTTTTCCACAAGTTAAAAATATGACTTCATTTTGGATCCGAGCGAGGCCGCTTAACCTGTGAGTACTTCACATGTTGCCAATACTTTTCCAATGTCAAAAGTCTTTCAACTTTGACAGGAAAAAAAAAGTATTTTATGTATAGCAAACTAAGTCACTATGAATCTCAATACAGAAATTGAGAGGGGATGAATAACAATCTTGCTCTCTGTCTTAGGCAGGAAGACTCGCTGATAAAAAATATTTGGGACCAGACTATAGTGTTATTAGATAAATTTGTGGTAATCTAAATGTTTTTGTGCTCTAGTGGAAGACCAAGAAGGTTACAACTTGAAAGGTAGTTAACCAATAAATGAAATAGTCAAAATAGGGTCTGAAAAAAAGAATACGTTGGACGCTACCTAGGATGCTAATTGCTCACTAGCTAGGACCATATATATTTGGCATGCATGCAGTAACAACAAAGAGCCAAATATCAGAGCATTTATGACATTAATTCACGTTCTACTTACTAAAACGAAAAAAAAAAAACATGATTGCTCTGCTTTTAATGTCCTATGTGCAGTGGAAGATCGAAACTACACTGCATGCTTTCAAGGAATGCCCATTTGCTAAAGAGGTATTACTGCTTTCTGGACTGGATCGTAATCATGTTGAAGCACCAGCCATCTCCTGTAAGAACTGTTTTGATGGTGTCGCAGCCTCACTCGATAGAGAGGCTCTTGCGAAGTTCACTATCCTTCTTTGGAACATCTGAAATCAGTGGAATAAATGGGTTCATGACAAGGAATCACTAACCGCAGGGGAGGTGGTCAATGCCGCATGGCTGATCGAAAGTGAGTTTCAAGAGGCTACTGGACTGTATTTTGTTCAACGGTTTCACAAAGGACCACATAAACGATGGAGGGGGAGATCAAAATCAATGTTGATGCTCCTATTGGAGTGGTGGCTAGAGACTACCACGGGCTGGTGGTCGGAAGGGTCGCTCCTAAAAGGAACTCACATCGTCGAATCCTCCGAGGTTGCTGCCTTCATCGAAGGAATACGTTTCGCTGTCGAAAATGGATGGGATCAAGTGATCATTAAGAGTGATGCTGTCTCTGTTGTCAACATTTCAGTAATCGGCTTGATGCTCAACGAGGCATGCACAACTCTCCGCATATCACTGTCAGAGTGCATTATGCCAAACTTGAGGCCAATCGAATTGCTCATAATCTTGTTTAATGAACCTAGTCGAGAGTCGATCCTTTTTTGTTCCTCTTGGATGAACCGGAATATATTAAAAAGTGACGTACTCTTACTATACTATTGGAATATAATTGAATTTTTCCTTTTAAAAAAAGCTTTTCTTTTTTTTGAACAGAAGTTCAAAGCTCATTCGTGGGCTTGATTTCTTACATTATTAAGCGAAACAGCCTACTTTGCAACTATAAGGAGCCCAAACTAGCCCAAGCTTGCTGATGGTTGATCTCATTCAGAGCCCATTCATCGTCATATATCAGGCAAATACACCTGCTTGTTTCCAGATTGTTTGGATTCTTTCATGCACAACTTTTTAAACAGAAAATTCCCCTAATAGTTTCATTCCCGGCCTTTTTGACATTTCGTTTGATAACGATTGAGACATTATGAGCAGCCTGAGAAGGATGGTTTTTATTTCGCCTAAGGTCTTCTCAGGTTTCAATTCCATCCCACAAGCAATACAAACAAGTTGGCAATTTAACTTTCCATCAGCCAATCCCACATGCGTTTTGTCTTGACCATCACCATCGTCTTCACGGTGATGGATTTGCCGTTTAGCAGTTAAAAAGTTTACATGCATATATACTATTACAATGATTACCTGCCTGCCAACACACCTTCCCAACATCTCCCATGCATTCCCCAGTTTAATCAATACACAATCTGACATCAAATTTATAATTTAAAGAATCAAAGTAAAATATGAGAAGTTTTTTTCCCAATATCATTTGGCATCTCATGAACACAGAATTTATACAAAACCTTCTTCCTTCTCAATCTTACAGTAAAAACATATACTAGACCTGCACTGCTCTTTTCCAGTAGCCTTTGTAGATTATACATTCACCTGTGCACTACAAGCCAGCTCCACTCATTTTCTGGGAATGAAGACGCCAACACAACACATAAATAGGGAGATAGTTCTTATACAAACCCCTATCTGTTGTAAGAAGACCAAAATTCCTGAAACCCAAAACTCTTAAACTGCAGAGGTTGTTGCATTGTCACAATTATGGGACTAGTGACATTGTGCTTCCCATCAGACCACACTATTGTGCCGCTTTTCATGCTACTGCTTCTGGGGGCGAGACTGCCATGGCCTCCACTCTAACAAGGAAATTCAATTTCTGGCCTACCCTCCTAAACAAGAGCTGCTGTGGCTCTACCGTCACCAGTGTGCCACTAGGTGGCCTCATTGTTACTTTGTACACTGAATTTGGATCCCCAACATTTGTCACTTGCCTAATGAAATGCGTCGACATTTATCCTTGCCATACTGTTGGAAAACAGCTGAGAACGATGGGTAATTAAGATTCCCAATATGGCCAGCTCTTTTTGCCCCACTGCAATCTGCATTCCTCCTAGTGATCACTTGAATGTTGTTGATTGTATAGTTTAAGTTGCACAAGAAATCCACGTAATCCATCGGAGTTGCACATAAACCAGACCGGGATCCATAGCCTTTGTGGGGTGACCATGACCGGATCCGAAATCAAAAACTGTTGATGTATTCCCATTGGATTCATCGATCATAGTTTCCCCACAATTATCAACGGTGTAAGCAGTTGTCATCAGGGCAGACTTAATGGCTGCAGGGCTCCATTCAGGATGAACTGCTTTCAACTAGGGATGGCAACTCAACCCGAATCCGACGGGTTCCGACCCGACCCGACCCGATCGGGTCGGATTTTTTTTAAAAAAATTTGGGTTCGGGTCGGGTCGGGTCGGGTTTAGGGTGAAAGAAATCCGACCCGACCCGACCCGAAAAATATATATAATTTTATCCTATATATTTAGGGATAATTACAATAATGTCCCTCCATATATACTTTTTTTCAATTAAGTCACTGTTTTCATTGAATAAAATTTTTTTTATTATTATTTCGGGTCGGGTCGGGTTTCTAAGTCATATATTCGGGTCGGGTCGGGTCGGGTGAAACCTTAATTTCGTCGGGTCGAGTCGGGTCACGGGTGAAAAACCCTTTCTTCTCGGGTCGGGTCGGGTGGCCCAAAAACCCGACCCGACCCGACCCATTGCCATCCCTACTTTCAACAAAGCAGCCAATCCAGAAACATGGGGACAAGCCATTGAAGTGCCTGAAAGAATATTAAACTCTGTCCTTCGATAATCTGATGGAATCCCCGATGGACTAACTTGATCAGGCCAGGCAGCAAGGATGTTCAATCCAGGAGCAATCACATCAGGCTTCAAAATTTCAGGGGTCTCCGGGTTAGGCCCACGAGCCGAAAACGAAGCTACCACAGGTGCAGGCCTGACTCCTAATCGAGTCCCTTTAAAGACAATAGTGGCAGTGGGGGGTGCGTTTGATTTTGATGCAGAATCGATGTATTGCCTAATCTCATCTGCATTTGATGCACCAACAGCAGTAGCTGACAAGACATGGCAATCAACAACTAACCCTTCCCCATCGAAAACCCCATTAGCTATAATCATTCCGACCCCTCCAGCTTTCTTCACAACATCCCCTTTAGCATCTCTTGAATTAATCCCTCTATCACACAAAACAATTTTTCCTTTCACGAAGTCGGGATCCAAAGAACCTTCCAAACATAGAGAAGAAGAATACCCATCACCACCACCGGATCCAGCATAAACCAATGGGTACATCCGACCTGGAGACAGACCCGGCCCATTATACACACCGACTCCAGGCACAAATTACCATTTCCGAGCTTAACATCAGCTGGAAAACCCCTATCAATCGTACCAGCACCAATGGTAGCCATCCATGGAGCCACATTAGTAACACTTAATCCACCGGGACCCCCATTTCCAGCCGAGGCCGACACAAAAATCCCTTTATCAGCAGCACCAAAAGCTCCAATCGCAATGGCGTCAAGATAGTAAGGCACCACAGCACCGCCAACACTCAACGAAATCACATCAACGCCATTGGCCACGGCAGAGTCGAAGGCAGCGAGAATATCAGAGTCATAACAACCAGCATTCCAGCATACTTTATAAGCTGCAAGTCTTGCCTTTGGCGCCATCCTGGCAGCCACTCCTTTAGCATAGCCTAATGTAGAGGCTGGAAACACATACCTTCCAGCAGCAATGGAAGCAGTGTGGGTCCCGTGGCCGTCCGAGTCTCGTGGTGAACGAAACTCGGAGGTTTCATTCATTTTGCCGTTAATTGCTTCGTAGCCATTGTATTGAATAATCGGGTAAATAAATCGAAAAAAACACAAACATTTTAACGAGATTCAACTACTTACATTCTGGGTACCTAAGGTGGCACTAGATTTATCATTCAATTTTTTTCATAGGTTTTAATTACATCTCTAATAAATAGACCATGCTACATAATCGTAATCCAACTACAAGACTTTTTTATTTGTAAGCACGGATAATATTCGCTGCATTGACTACGTTCTACTCACTCCCTTCTTTCCTCTTTCCTCTATTTTCTTTACTATTGTTTTAAAAATCAGATCGGACCGGATCTGTCGGTTCAATAGGTTCAATCGGGAATTGTTGTCTAGTCCAGTTTAATTTACACCAATTGAACCGCTACTAGTGAACCGGCCGAAATCGTTGAACCGTTCAAACTCGAGTATTGTTGAGCTCGACTCGAACTTGAAAACTTTAAAAGTAAGCTCAACTCGACTCAAACTCACAAGCTAAAAATTATCAAGTTCAACTCGAACACAAAATATAATATTGAAACTTGAACTCGAAAAGGCTTGAACTCAAAAAAAATTTAGAAGCTCGATTAAAGCCTAAAATTCGAGCTTGATTAAAGTGAAAGAATAATTCACTCAATGCCCACCAAAAGGCTCCATGATTTTGAATGTCAAATTACCTTTATTATTTATAGAAGTTAGTTGTGATGTTCTTCTATGTTTCTTAACCATGTGGGATTGTTTTGTTATCATATTTTTACTCTTTAGACTTTTAGGATGTTCTTCTATGTTTATTAGTCATGTGAGATTGTTTTTTTAAAAAATTAAATCAAACAATATTATTTTGTTATGATTTTTTAGCCCTAAATTTATTTTTTAATTATAGTTATATAATTATATTTATTATTTAATATATTTTACCTTAAATATTATGTTGTAGTTAATTTGATATTTTGTTTCACTTAATTTTATTATTTTTTAACTTATATATGTTATGACTTACTTTGGATATTACTTGTGATATAAAAAATTATTTTTTATTAAATATTTTTAGTATTTTTATTTAATTTTTTAAATAATTATGACGTCGTTCAGTTCTATCGATCGAATCGATTCGACTAATTAAACCAATAAATTGATAGCATGATCGATTTGTTAACCAATTCGATTCTAAAAATCATATTCTTTATCGATATATTTATAAATCATATCTAAAGCATTACAAAATTACCTAGCGCCGATACGTTTTTTATTACAAGAACCGGAGCCGAAATCCTTTGTCGTAACGCATTGGCCTTTCCATTTAGAAGGAACAGGACCCAAATCACGGTCGTTGAAGCTTTGACGCTCGGGCCAAATACCCATGTCGATGACTCCGATAACAAGATCCGAGCCAAAATCGGATTCTTTCAAAAGGCCAGCTTTGTCGGTGGTTTTGAGTCCTAAGAAGAGAGGAGAGCGCGTGGTCTGCAGGTACCGAACTTGTTCAGGGATGACAGCGATGACATGGGAAAGTGTTTGAAGCTTGAGGACTTCAGTCGGAGATAGCTTACCCGCGAAACCGTGAAAAACGGTGTCGTATACATGAAGAACTTGGGTGGGAGTTGAAGGGGAGAGGAGGGGGAAGTGACGATTTGTACCAGTGCTTGTGATTGGTGAAAATGGAAGGCTTGGCATCGTGCTGGACTCTAACGATGAAGGTTTTCTGCTGGACCCTGGAAGCAGAAGAAGCAAAACAGAAAAGTGAAAGAGTGAAGAGAAGAAAGAAACCCATTGGTGGGCAAAAGGATTGAGCTCTGAGAGTGTGCGTTAATGGAGAGGTGGGGAAGCATAAAAAGGAGAGAGATTTGCGTGATGGTAATGTACGAAATTACCAATACTACGAAGAGGCCATAGCTCTCTCAACAGGCCAGGCCAGGCCAAGCACTGAATGGAACAAAGAGAAGATAAATAGTAATGGCGGTGGGGGCTTGCTTAGCTGTGTTGCTCTTCTTGTTTTATTGGTACACTCTCGGCTTAATTACCCAAATACCAATTCTTTTTAAAGATTATATATGAATTTAGCGAAGAAATTAATCCATCTTGGTGGTAGAGTATTTTTTATTATTTATTGAAGTTTTGAATTTGAATGTTTTATATATAGGATATAAATATTTATGTTAAATAATTAAAAAATTTAAATGTATATGTATTTATTAAAAAGTGTATTTCTTTTACTAATAATCAATCGGTCAATAGATCAAATACCATTGATTAATTTAGAAAATATATTTTTTAATTAAATATTTTGATTAATAATGTTTTAGAAATCTTTAAATGGTCATTTTTTAAATGTAATTTTTAATTACATATATAATTTAGAAAAAGTGATATTTCAGCAGTTAAGACTACACTTGGACATTCCAATGTACTCGCCCTCCTTCAGCATTTACGGTCGCTACAAAGACAGTGACAAATCTTTGCAATGCCATAAACATTTTTGAATTAAATTCAGTCTAGATGAAAAATACAAAATATTTAAGTTTGAATTTTTATCATTATTTTCTGAAATTTTTTGTGTAATGCTTTTGTATCATAATTTTATCTTTCAATTTTATTTAGAAGATTTCAAAATTATCTTGAAGAATGAATATAATCATTATATCGTTTAATTAATTTCCTATTTGGAGGTTATATTCTCTCTCTTGGGAAAATTTATTAGATGAATCCAGCTCATCATGTCATCTGTGGTTTCAATCAATAAGGTCCATTCACGACATTTTTTAAGGTGAAACTTCACATCTTTCCTACATGAAAAAAAAAAGTGAGTAGTTATTTAGAAGTTACCTTGAGATGGATGAACCTTATTGGTTAGAACCAGAGATAGAACCCTAATCAAATATTGATATGGGCCGAAATATTAGGCTATTTAAGAAAAATATAAAGACTTATTATGTATTTAAACTCAAAACTCAGCATGAACCAAGCGGCCTTAGTGATTAGGAGATTGTTGTTGTCTTTGAGGTCACGAGTTCAAGCACGTATGTAAGGGTACGAGCGTTCATTTTCAAATAGTTGAAAGTCTTGTACAAATATTACCTTATATTCACCCTAACTTAAAAAAAAAACTCAAAACTTAAAACACAACTTCTAATTTGTCTAATATTTAAACTTATAATAACTTAAATTTTAATTAGACCAAAAATTTGATAATACAGACTTATAATTCTTTAGTTTGAACTCTACTTGATTAAATATTTAATAATTTTTATATTTTTAAAATTTAAATATTTATTTTTACATGAACCAAAATACTATTAAATCAAAATTATATTGAATATATAAATTTTAACAGGGTCGGGGGCCCTTGGGCCCTAAGAGAGCTCTGTCCTTGGTTGGAGCCACAATGACGTGATGAGCCGAGCCGATCAAATAATTTCTTTTTTTTAGATATTCTTCGAATCTTTTTTTAAAAAATAGAAGATAAAATTTTAAATTAAAATTATAAGTAAATATCTAAAAATAATAATATTTTTTGTTATTACAATTCTATTGAATAATAACGATATCTTTTATTAGAGATAAAATATGAAGTAAGAATCAAGGTTAGTGATTAAGAAACTGTGGTTATCTTTTAAACTACGAATTCAAACACCACATATGTATAGATATAAGTGTTCACTGTCAAATGATAAAAACTATTTGAATATATACTTTTTTTATATATTTTTTAGATTTAAGAAATAAAATATAAAATTAATTCATGAGGAATGCAACCGTAAACGTTTTGCTTTAGATTTCTTAATATAAAACACAAATGCTTCGTACAATTTATACATCGATACATTTTAAAATTTCAAGATTTTATTTAAATGAAAATGGAAGTTTGGTCCGTGACAATGTGGCAAGTAAACTAATATATTGTTAATTTAATATGAAACCTTCCAAAAAAAACTTATCATTTTATTTTAGTATTATAAACGACAGTATCCGGTTTGTTTTATTTTCCTTTAAAAGCTGATAGCCTGATACAGACATACGTGTGACGATTATCCAAGTTCATGTAGATGCCTGATTCAGCTTATATTTAAATATTCATGAAAATGTATACATCTTTTTGATTACTTCAGTTTATTTATTATAATTTGATATTTTAAAATGCATAATTTTGATTATTTTCTAATTTTATATAATATTTTAAACGTTTGGTATTTGATATAAACATGTTTTAATAGTTTAATAATTAAATTGATATACGGAATAAATTTGAATGGGTAATGGGATGATGTATCTGAGAATAAAAGAAAAGCAGATGGAGAGGATCTGGAATCATTTTCTTCCTACCTTTGATCACAGCCGTGTTTTGTGCTTAATTCAAATATACATATGATATGATGAAACCACTAAGTTTTTGTTTTGTTTGAGAATTTAAAACCTATGGGTCGAGGCAGCGGTAAAATGTTTGTTTGGGTGGGGACTGCTTAGTTATTGGACACTACTTTTTCGTTTCAGATTTCTAATCACATAAAACAAACATTTTTAATTCTATTTACTTCCATCACCGAAAGAAAGGAGAGTCTTTCAATAAAGGTACAGGCTGTGCTAACCCAATCCACGGGCAATAGTCTGAAGCAGAATGTTGATTGTAAAATGCAACACTTAACAACGGGAGGGGGGTTTGGTAAGGCTGCAATCAACATTAGTAGCAAAATGAGGACAGGACCGACGCTTAATTTGATATTATACTTCATCACATATGATTAATCAATTTCCAACTTCACCAACAACTGAAAACGTTTTTCTCAATAGAAAAAGAACAAAATATCTAATATTCAAGGTCCACACGAAAGTTTATCCAAAAAAATGTAGGAGTTGGTTTTGATTTAACTTATGGATTCTTCTTTTTTATTATATTAATGATTATATGACAGTAAATTTTTCTAGTATATAAGATTATTAGATTACATGTATAAATATATGCAATGTCGAGAGTGCTATTTATGGTTTAATTACTATACTATTCATGTAAAATTTCTGCAAGTTTGAGTACATATATATATTATATATATAGATCCAAAATGAATTTTCACGCATTGAAATTGAATGCAAAAATTGTCATTTAGGATATAAAGCTTTCGAGAGAGAAAAAAATCCTAAAAATATAGCTGAACTGAATTAAACAAACTTACATTGAAGCGTGCCTACAAATAAAGCTGAATGAGCTCATCACTAATCACGGATGGAGTCAGCACACCCAAATCTGTAAAGAGTAGACTAAGATATTGAGGAGGAGTGTAATCTCGAGCCGATGTTTCTACCTCTACCTTGGTTGGGATTGGTACCCCAAAATCAATAGGGCGTAGGGCAGGAGCCATATCCTTCTGATCCAACGGATAGTGTCGCGCAAACTACAAGGAAAAAGAACACATAACTCAGTTGTGCTAGTCGCTAATCCTAACCCTTCTTTCTTAGGTCAGTATTATGTAGCATAATTTCATAGATCAGGTTCAAATCATTCTAGAACTAGAAAAATATATGCAGCTTTTAAATCACCTTGTAGCTTTCTGCAGCCACATAAAAGGGCTTGTTCATGCTATGTGCCACCAATGCAATCTGGAATGTACCCATCATGTTTATGATACCCCCACTTTCAACCACTCCATCAGCTCCGACAAATACCATGTCCACCTCATCCATAGTGTACGCCACAGCACAGTCAATTAGAAGCTTTACAGGAACATCAAGCTTGGCCAGCTCATTAGAAAACCGTAATCCGGTTCTGTCTGGAATTCCCTCTGAAATTAAAAACAAGGTGTACTTCATAAACACCACAATCAGATATTACTATATCTAGCCACTATTCAGAAATCCAACATAAACAAAAGCATAGAAAATTACAAGACTTCTCTTGTGAAGAATGATGACAGCACATTTGGTTTGTTCCTGTTGAGATTTATTGCATGCAGAAGACAGTGTACTTAAAAATTATACCTGTGCAGAGAACTCGAAAGACTTTCTTGTTTGCCGCTGCTGTCTTCAATACTTCTAGAACAACTCTAGAGAAACCGTGTACCAAAATGGTACAACCATCAAAAATAAAATCTTGACTTAGCATTGCAATAATCCTGCGTGCCTACAGTATTCGGCAACAGTGTCTTTCAACAACAGGAATGCTTCAGGTATAATTAAAATGAAATGACATTAGTGAGTATCACTGAAAAAGGCACAATTTTATCTGAAATACCTTACAAGATATTTCCCCAAACTTCTCTGCACGTTCAATCAGGCGAGACTTTGCTGAATTAAAATCCTCATACTCTAACGCTGATGTTCTTGTTACATATCGCATGAAGAGATCACAACCAGCTGTCAAAGAGATTGAAGTTGCATCCCATGACTGCAACAGCAAACATAACCTTAAGAGTGAGGCAAATCAGAGAGGCAGCATTATTTACACAGCAAACTAAATGAGAACAGTTAGTGGATAGCAATTCGTTTTTCTCAATGGATAATTTGCTATTAGCAGGGATATTTCAGCCTGTTACCCTCTAATTTCCACATCCCAATAAATAGGATTCCCCATCCAAAGCATTGCATGTTACACTATGTTTAAAATCCTACCAACTAACAATAGCTTGCAGATGGTTTTAACTGTAAAAAAAAAAAAAAAACTTACTCCATTAAAATGGTTTAACTTCTTTTATTACTATGACATTAAAATTTTCCAAAACATGCTTCATGTGATAGAACATGCATCTAACACATATTCAAGGGCATCCGATATACCGTAAGGAAACTCATAAATCTATAAGAAGTATTGGCAAATGGTAACAAATATTTACAAAACATCATCATAGATTTAGCATGCCACCAAAAACATGCCTTCAACACCTAATAAATAATTCTTGAACTGCTTGTTTGACATCATGATTTCTCTTAAACAAACAAATGTTATAGATCAGGAAGTACCATAAAAGAATTGCTTTGGAAGAACCAATATTACTAGTCACATGCACTCACCAAACAGAATGAGCAAACCAAAAGAATTAAGCATATTGCCAATGGTATAAAATCATAGAGAGCTAATGTACACTTATTAGGCCTTGACAAGCATACAACCCAATAACCATGGCATTACCATTTTATTGCTTTGCCAAGTAGAAACACGCAGCAAGAAAATTGAGGCTCTGAAATTTTCAGTTTTCTAACTCCTAGCAACACAGTAAACATAGAAAACTAGAAAAAACCACACCTTTCCTTGCATAGCAACTATGAGTGAAAATTTTTCTACTATATTTTTTACAAAATAAAGCATAAAACTTCATTGAAACTTTCCTGTCTTTTGGCACAATGACTCGAAGAAAATGATTCATATGCCGGTGGATACACCTATGTTGAATGTACCTCCACAAGGAACCTAAATACACGTATGGTTATCTAAATATCCTAGCGTACCCACCAAAGATTTAACTGAAAAAAAAACTAGTAACAGATTCATAAAAGCCTGATAAATAAAATAAACTTGAAATTATTTAAACAAGCAAAAGCTAAACTAAAGTTCATCACTTCACTATGTTTCCAATATCATTAAATTTAGCAGACATGATCAAAACCTAATCATTCGCTAATTTAAAGGAACTGTTTTAATTTAAAACAAAAATACAGAAGACTCACTTTAAGCGAATCCGAAGCCTTTTTAAGCTCAATTTCAAGCTCCATCATAGTGGTAGCGCCACTTTTCCTAATAGCAGCCGAAAGGGCGCGAATAGCCGCCACGGCCTCCGCCAAGTCAGGCTGTTTCCTCCAGCTTTTGAACTCATCAATAACACTAAATGCCTTCCCGCTTCCTTCTCCCTTCCCACCAATCGGGGCATCTCTCCCATCACTTCCCAGCAAATCACAGTCGTCGGTATGGCGACCGACAGCCGCCTGGGCCTGAGCGAGCCAATCGCTCGTAACAACGGCGTTGTGGGCGGCACGGGTCTGGTAATAGGCAGAAACGTTAGATTCAGGGTTTAGGGAAGAATCAGCCATAGAAGGAGATGAGAGAAGGACGGATTCCGGATTTGGCGCAACACCGTCGTTTTGATGTTGCTGTCTGTCGAGAACGAAAGAAGCCGATCTCCACCACATTTAATAAGTTATGTGTGTTCGATATGTATTTTTTTTTAAATGTATTTGGGTAAGCTTCAAGTGTTAGTTTTTTTTTTTTAGTGTGTCGCTCTTTTCTCTTTCGTTTTTGTTAATAGATGATAATATTAACTTTCATTTTGATTGTCCATCATTAGTATCTTATATATATATATATATATATATATATATATATTGTATATATTTTTTTAATTTTAATAAATATGATTATGTTACATATTTATTTTTATGACATTTTTTATATTTTTAACATATTTTTTTAACTCTTTAACTCTTATTTATTTATTTATTTTAAAATTGATTTGGTATTATCACAATTAATTAAGATGACGTTTATATGATATATTCTCTCCTTTAAACTCTCGGATTGAATTAGATTTGGATAATTGGTTTGTGCTCGTGGATAATTTTTCACGTTGTTTGAGCTTGATTTATGGTTTGTCACTGGTCTTTTAATAGTCTTATCATTTTTGTGGTTCGTTTGTCGATGTAATCATATCTGTTTGTATCTATCTTTGTTCGAGTTTCTTAGTTAGATTTAATATTTTCTTGTATGATCATTATGTGATCTTAAGTTATTAGTTTTGTTTGTGATTATATATCTTTATTGTAATTTAAGATATTTTAAATAAAATTAGTTGTTTTTAAAAAAAATGGTATTTGGGTAAGCTAATTTCTCGGGAAATTTTCAAGGAGATGGTGATTAAGAAAATAAACTAGGTTAGGAAGCCATAGAGTCTCTGATCATGTCCGTGTTTGAAAAAAGGTGTTAAGGGGTTTATCTATGTTAACACACCAAAGACAAATCAAAGTTAAAATAACCAGTAGAATTAAATATATTAAAATTTTATCACACTTTAAATAGTATTTTATATTAAATTTTATCAAATTAAATAGGATAATTGGAAGAATAATGCGGTAAGTGATTATGAATCCTTGAAATTGGACCCACCAAAATCAATGTACGACTTGAATCGGTCTAAATTAATTAAGACGAAATCTTGAAACTGAAAGATAATAAAAAATATATATATCTAGCCTTAAACGTTTTATATGTGTGGATCATTTCTTCTTTTGAATAATATTCTTCAAAATTAAGAGATAAAAGCTTCAAAAAAAAAAAGGTGACCAATCTAGAGTGTTTTATGTGTGTGGATCATTATCAATCTATAATTTGTTTATACTTTCAACCTTATCATTTCAGTGACTAGAGCAGCTGCATCGAATGCCATAATGTAGGGCTTCACTGTTTCACCCTGAAGATTAAGTCATGCAACTCCTATAGATCCCTATAATCTGGTCATATTATGAACAGTTTGAAATATACTGGTTGAACTATTTAAATTGATAATAAATTTACTACATTATCCAATTTTCTAATTTTAAATTCAAGCAATTAATAAAAATAATAAGATTGACAAATTAAAATTTAAATATAGCAACTAAAGACTTTCCTAATCACACTTACCAACTCAAACCATATGTGCGTAACACCTCACTCAGCTCTAAGGGGGTAAATAAAACAAACGATGTCGTGTGCTGTATTTATTATCTGACACTGCCAAAAAAAAGCAGTAGAATTCCTTCCTGCTATGTGCTTTTAACTGAAAAATATGGGTTGTTGGGGTTTCTTTTTTTCATATGAGATCAAACGGCATCAACTCCTTAATTGATTTAGTTAATCAAATTGTAAGCACGTGGTTAAGATGATTAGAGATTGCAACTTCCAGGAGCACGGGCACCATTAAGTAGGTCAGAGTTTGAAGTGAATTAAATGAACTCATACGTAGTTCAGGTTTAACACATTTTAAATACTTGATAGAAATTTGCTAATCTTACACCCACCTCATGTGTTTGTTAATTAATTGTTTTTCAATATTTATGAACAAACAACGTTCGCACTTATCTCAACAAGGAAAATATCAAAAACTTCCACTTTTAGTACGGATGGTTGAAATGTAGTACTTAAAACACAAATAATGTTTATTTAATCAAATTATTGATTTATTATATATATATATATATATATATATATATATATATATATATATATATATATATATATATATATATATATATTTGTGAAAAAGTATTCAAAACCATTGACGTTCCATGAAAAATACAGTAATCCTAAAATTTATTTATTAACCATATTTTAAATAAAATTGTTTTTAATTATTAATTAATTTATTTGTTTTTACTTGATAATTTTAAATTTTAAATAATAAACTTATAATTAATTATATATTTTTATATAGTTCATTAATCAAATGTTTTTTAAAATATTGGTTGCCCTCGCGATTCTAAAGCTCGCATTGACTAATCCGAATAGACTCACGTCGCATACTTATTTTTTGTGAATGAGTCACCCAACGAAGAATTTCTTTATACACAAGATTATTGTCAATTTGAGTTATAAATTCCATTATATTCTTGAGCATGATGTATACTTTCAATTAAATTTCAATTATGCCCCCAATCCTTGTACTCTTCAAACTTTTGAAATTTAGTATATTGTTTTTATTTTCATGACTTTAATTTCTCTATTAGTATATGTGGCATTTTCCATGACTTTTGAAATTTAATAGAAGTCGGTGAATAATGTTATCAACTAGAATTTAATTTTTAAACCATTAAGTAAGGAGATAAAATTTCTAAAATAAAAACTAGAAAGCCTAAATTAGAAAAAAAAACTAAAAATTATATGCTCTGAAAGCATAATTACACCTTTCAAAGCATTTGTTAACATCAATGACTGAAGCGAATTAAAGATTTATTGATTGTAATGTATGTTTTAAAAGTGTGATGACTAAAGTGAAAGTACCCTAAAAGTTCAGTGACTACCAGTGTTTTTTACCATAAGATTAAATTGAGATTTATCATTTTTGAGGACTAAAAGATAATTATATCATTATGATTTTAACTTTAAAGGACTGAAAAAAGCTATTTTATCATTGGGCATGACCCAGCCCCTGTATCTATTTATTATTATGAAGGGTGGAGTCTAAATTGACAGTTACCAATTTATGATAAATGCTTAATTCTGGTTTTCACATATTATATAATTAAGGAAGTGTAGCTATGAATCCATTAGAAGAATGAAAGAAAAAGACTTTTGCCTACAAAATCAGAAATGTTTGTCTTTTTTCCCTCCCCTTGCCCACCAATTAGTTAATTCGGTTCATCAAGTCCAACCCTCTTAATCATATCTATACAATTATTTTAATTATAATTTAAATTACTAATATTTTATTATTTAATATGATAATTTACAGTGAACATATAAGAATATTTTTATTGAATAATAAATATAATTAAACACATATACTCACATGCATCCCTCTTAAGAAACTGGGCTCTGCGATTCGGTGAACATGTATCAATTGATCTGTCCATGTTAAAGCATGTAATGGAAGACAAGGTGTAAGTATTTATATCACGTTGAGTTAATTAAAATGATGAAATAGTCGAGGGAGGTGAATTAACAAGTAAAAGTTTTGATGGAATCTAAAGAGAAATGGAAAAGTTGAACACAAGAATTTTTTAGTGGTTCAACTTTTTAAACTAAAGTCTACATCTACTACCTTAACTATCTACACTAAGAATTTTCACAAATTTACTAATTTTTGTATCAACCTTTGAGGATAAGGTGTAATCTTATAACTTCCTCAAGAATTATACCCCAAAGAGCATTTGAGAAATAAAAACAAATGAGTAGAAAAGTGTTCTTCAAAAAGCAAAAGGAACATTGAAGAATGTTGACTTCGATTTTAGCTCAATGTGAATGCTTTGGCTTTTTTTTTGAACTCTTGTCTTCACATATGACGTGGAATCTTGTTTTTATAACTCTTCATCCAATTCTAACCATTTGGGTTGTTGTGAGAGCTAATAGAGTCGTAGGATGAAATTTCCAGCAATAAATATTATCAGACGCCTTGAGCACCAGTATTCGTGTTTGGAGTATCGTACTAACTGCATTAAATACAAAAACCTAGCCGTTAGGGAAGGGGAGTACCGATACTCCCACTTCGAGTATCGATACTTACATAGTAACGGTACCAAAATAACCTACTGGAATTTGCATAACACAAGGAGTATCGGTACTCCTACGAGAGGTATCAGTACTACATTATTTTTAAGCTGTTTGTATTGATACTGGTATCGGTACCACATGAACAATATCTATACTATAGCGTTGAAAATTAATTTTTGACTCAATTAGAATCCGAAACCCTTTGTAAAAAATTTAAAAATCATTTCCAGTATAAAACTCAATTTTCAATAGAGTAAAGTGTAAAATTGAAGTTTTTTATCTTAAAATGAATTTTTATATTCAAATGACTGAATCGAATATAATTTTAAAATTTCTTTAAAATATTAATTACTTTTGATATATCAAAAAATATGTTAAACACATCAAATACATAGAGTTTTGAGATTGTTTTGCAGGTGTTTCTTTATTTTACCGACAAATTATGTGTTCCATTTTCATAAACTTGAAAAATATATACAGTTGTTAAACTTGATAGCCTTGATGCTGGTAAAGTAAGCTTTGACGGTTTTGGTGTCAGTTCAATCTCATATCAGAGGTGCCAATGTTAGACTGTTAAAACGATTTAGATACGCCGTTTCCTTCTCAATCAGCATCATGACATTGACATCAATTATCAAATACCTTTTTCATTCTTAGTGTCCATCTAAAATCGAGTTCAAGTACAGTATCTAATGTATTGATCACAATGTAGCAACAACAGTTCCATTGCAGACCTGGCCAACCATGTTGGTGTATTTTTCCATAAAAGAAAAGGAGACAAGGAAAAGGGAAAGCAATGACACAGTATCGATTTATTTTGTATGAAATGGAAAGGGCACGCCATATTTTTGCTGAATTTCGTCCAAGACTCAGCCTCTGAATTCATCCATGAACTTTTATGGAAACCTGTTAGACGGGTAACAACTGCTGGAATCTTTTCTTCTTGAGGGAGTATTTTGCATCTAAAATGCCAAGTACCAGGAACCTATGCCAAAATACCACATATCAATTATTG